CTCTCTCTCTCTCTCTCTTCCTCTCTCCCTCTCTCTCTCCCTCTCTCTCTTCCTCTCTCCCTTCCTCTCTTCCTCTCTCTCTTTCACTCTCTCTTTCCCCCTCTCTCATTCTCCCACCCCCCACTTCCGCCCCCTTTCTCTCTCTTTATCCCAGTAAGAAAAAAAGGACAATGTTTGCTCCACCAGTAAAAACGAAACAAAACAAAGAAGTCTCTTTCTGTTAAACGGAAATCTTATTGTTCAATCTGTGCTGTCATTAGTATTATTAAAACGTTGTTTTCGCTCCCAGATTTTATTTGTATTATCTCACGTGTATGCATTCAGGGGTCTCTTTACTGCAGATTTAAGCTTCCAAGGAAACCGAGAGTGTTGATGAGTGATCTAAGGCCAGCAGGGGTAATAACATAGATTGCAAAGCACACAGAGCTTGCTGTTGAGCGGGATGTGAACCATAGAAATTAATATAATATCTATTATTCGTCATAGTTATATTACTTATATTTAAACTTTTTTAGCGTGCGGTGTGTGGTTGCTCTGGTGTGGTTTGCTCCTTCTTTCCTATCAAACATCATTCGTCCTAATCTCTCTTTCTTTTTTGTGTTTGTTACTCTCTGGTAACATCTCTAATCTTCGCACATATGTGACCTTATTGTGTTGTAAGTGCCGTAAAACTCTTTCTAAAACTAAAATCCCCTGCCACTTATATAATCTTACTATTCTGATGTTTTAATTCTCTCTTGTTTCCTTTGTGTTTCTTTCTATTTTGTCGAAAATAGGTTTGTCTTTAAACGATGATCAGTTATCTGGATGTTTACTGTATGTGGCACCCCCCCTACCTTTAAATGGTCGGTACAGGGACAGGAAAACGCCAAATGTGATGCAGCGTGGTGGAATCAGGCTCTCGTCAACTTTTGGGCATGTAGAGTTATTGGTATCATCTTAAAGCTTGTTCATTTGTCTTTATTTGGATGAAAAAATATCCATTTACCTTAAATACAAGTCAAGATATTTGCGAAAGAAGAAGGTGGGGATTACCTGTTTTTAGAGGTAAAATTAGTGAGAAAATGGCCGCCTAAGTTATTTCCTTTGTTTAAGAGTCCGTGATAACTGAAAGTTTACTTTCTTTGTGCCTTTAATCAACGTTTTTCAGAAAAACCCACACAGAAATTAGTTCTTTAATGAGCATGAAAGGTTTTGAGCAAAACAACCCCCCCCCCAATTGACAAAACTTCACAAACCTGAGGAAAAATGAAAGTTTCTTCACTTTGATTATTTTGACGAGTCTGATTCCACCGCGTTGCCTCACAAATTAAGATTTTGATTATAATAAATCCAGCCTGGCAAACTGTCAACGCAGAAGTGCATTACAAGCAAAACGATTATGGATCTCAGTTCTGCGTTATACGATTGGGGAAAAAAAGGACACACAATGAAAACAAGATAAATACCGTCTATTACTGTACGGTAAACGACTGCAGATTTTCTAGACTGCACTTTATATCAAAGTGCAATCACAATTTGTAAGAAAATCGTTCGATTTTCAATCCTTTAGCTCAAAGAAATTTGGAGCTAGCGTTGACACGTAAGTTTATTGAGAAACATGGTAAATCAATTTGACCCCTCACTCCACCACCCCCCCACCCTCCCACACCGCCAAAACAAAACATTCTTTCAGAACAGAACATGAAAAAACAACAAACTGGACAGCATTAATTTTTGAACTGTTGGTACGTCATGTAATAGCCAATAAAGCCTACAGACTCTTCTATTATATTCATACCGTGAATGCATTTTACAGCACTCAAGATTTAAGCGGGTGGATAGAGGACGCGACAGGCAGGTCTTACTTCTTTACCTTTCCTCTGTTGTTTCTGTCTTTCTGTCTGACGTACTTTTTTCCCAGCATCAATAAATGATCATATTTGAGACTACGTGCTTCTCTTTACTCAAACAAACAAACAAACAAACAAACAAACAGACAAAGAAACAAACAAACAAACAAACGAACAAACGAACAAACAAACAAGATTTAAATAGTGATTTCCTTTAACTAATTAAAGACCCCCTTTTTAGTAACTTGTCAATAAACATACTTTGAAATAAGATGATGGTTTGACAATATGTGCTGCAACATTGCTTTAGGTCCCTTGGTTGGATATGTTATCTGTCAGCTCTGGCCTTTAAGAGTGACACATCTTAGTTCATAATGAGTGCATAGTACGAGAATCAGGACTGAAACAGTAGCTTCCTCTTTAACAGTGTCGGTACAGCTAGACTCTCAACCTTCTCTTTCCTGTCGGGCTCGAACCCCAACCTACAGGAGACACATAGAAAAGCCAGAAACAGCAGTGACCGGGGTTGGTTGGTCAGTTGAGACATGAACTCCCCGACGCCTGCCGGCAGGCCAGACGGACAAAGACTCGTGACGTCAGACACCACAGTGAGAAGGTCGTCAGACGTGAGGAAGAAATTGTCCACCAGGAGGCGCGCTGTCCCAGTCTGTCCACAAAGTAGAGCCGTTGCCAAGGGAGACAGCTGGGGACACATGTCCGACACGTGCAGCTGTCTACCTCCCAGGAGAGCGGGCGGGTTGATTCTGACCTTTTCAGGGCAAGCCGAGCCGGAGGTGATGAGGAGGTCAATGAGCTCTGTGCGTCCCTGAAATACCGCCGTGTGGACCCCGTGACTCGCTCGGCAGCCGCAGCTCAACAAATATTTCACCAACGCTGTGTGGCCTTTCTTCACAGCTAAGGTCAAGGCCGTGGAGTAGCGGGTCAAGTCAGAGGTGTCAGTGGAAACCATTCTCTTGTGGGATTGAGCGCCGGAGTTGACGAGAAGTGTGACTATCGGTAGAGGGTCTCGTGTCTCCACGGCGTACATGAGGACGGATTTGCCTTGGTGATCCTGTGCGTCCACATCTGCTCCGTATTTGATGAGCGCGCTGGCGCACTCGAAATTCTCATTCATCGCAGCCCGCGCTAGAGGACTCCTCCCAAGGGAATCTAATTTGTTAATGATGTCGCCAGCCCCATACGAAATCAGAACTTCCACGCACTTAGCGGATTCCATAGTGTCCTGGCCTCGACACCGACTACACACGTGAAGAACCGACTCTCCTACTGGAGAAGATTGGGAACATATTTTCTTGACATCTGCCCCGAGCTCCAGCAGCTCTTTCAGACTGACCACATTACAGCACGCAGCAGCGACCCCGAGCGCCGTCAACCCAATGCTGTTTTCTCTGTTTACCTCTGCACCGAGGTGCGTCACGAGTTCTCGTATGACGTCAGTTTCGTTGTTGGCCGCGGCGAGCATGAGAGCCGTGACGTCAAGTTCGTCTACTGCGTCCGCGTCTGCTCCTGCCTCGACTAGCAGACGAGCGTTGTCAAAGCTCCTGCGGTTTACCGCTAGCATAAATGACGTCATGCCCTGGGGTCCTGGGCGCTCCAGATTGAGCCCATCTTTGATCATTTGTTGAAGACTAGACCGTGTCAAGTCTGGAATACAAA